CCAAGACTTGTTGCATAACACCAGCGGCAGCATCAGTGATCTTATCCAAGGACAAATTCCTTCATATCTGGTAACTCCAACAATGAAAAATAATGTGCTACAAGCAGCATCCCTGGAAACAATCAGTACAACACAGGTACAAATTGCCTTTTACATGGGTACAGCCACACCAATACATGTGGACTCCCAGACCAGACAGCTGGCATTTTTTTTTACCACTGGTCAAACCCGAAAATGTATTTTGATTGCGGACAGTATTGAACATGGGTACCTGGAATAATGACATTTACTCTAAGATGGAAACCCCCTTAGTGGTGGTCTATCAGGAAGAGGGCCCCCTTAAGTACCTAGTTCCTGACCTAAACATGTGCCAAATAATGAAAGAGGTTCATTGGCTCTGCCCAGGGGAACCATTCCTAATCAATACCGCAGAAATAATGTGCAGTCTGTCAACCCTAACCTCCAGGGAGACTTGCAAGTTCAAGCTAAGTAAGCCCAACGAAAGAACCGAAACAGTGGCCATGATAGCCGATGCTCAGTGGTTAATAAGCACACCTCTAGATACGGCAACCGTTTCCACCGATCAACACTCCGTAACCATGAAAGTTCCGATTCCAAGCCACATTGCCCAGGTCACAGTACCAAGAGGTACATTCGTACACATAGGGGACAAGGTATTATATAATTTAGACAAAAGCCTACATCAAGCAGAGGTAGAAATAGTAAACACATTCCGAAACCACAAGTTTGAAATAAGCAGAAACTCTGTCTAACCTGTTGAAGAGTAAAGCATTTCATATGGTGAAATTAATCAGCGAGTCAGAGGTTAACGTAACAGATCTCACTTCGGCGACCGAAGAAGCCGGATATCAGCGGAATCAACAGGTGGGACTGGGAATCACAGGGGCAACAGGAATGATCATACTAGTCATAGCTATCCTAACCATAACATACCATATGGCCAAAATTAATGCCGAACTTAAAAAAAACGAATCGCATGGACAAGCCACATACCATTCGAGCCCAGGAACAGAGGTAGAGTCAAGGCCTGACGATTCCACCCAAGGGTAACCATAAAAAAACATATTTTTTACGACATCTCCTATAACATGGAGTCAGGAAAAGAATTTCCCTTGTTTAACCTTCCTTTTTGTATTTCTTTTCTTATTTCAAATGAAATCATGCTAAGTTGTGACACGTATGCGCACGTTGTAAGGATAAATCAGCCAAAGCTGGAGGACAATTGATGATTAATGATGGAAAAGGGCATATATTTTTTATTTTGAAAATGACCTGTGGCCAATTGACCATCGATCATTTTTAAAAGGGCGGATGTTGTATATATGTCCCCTTTTCCATCTTAATATTAACAAGTAATTTTTCGATACATATAGATACATATTTTATTGTTTTTTTAACAATGATTAAAAACAACCAAACCCAGGCCGTCAGAATGGCATGTGGAGGTCATGGACGGGGCCATGTAATTAAATAAATAATTACTCCCAGGGTCAGAGGTCACAGACCAAGTGCTGAAGCAGGCAGATGAAAACCAGCACTGACTCCAAGGACACTCCCCCACCACAGCGAGACGAAATTAATGAGGAACTTGAGATGCACGGCGTGTGTAGACCGGATAAAGGTGCAGCCCTGAAGAAGGGCGGGAGAGACCCCGGCGGGTGTCTTTGCTAAAGCTGGCAGTTGCATGATAATGGGGCAGAGAGTGGGGGCCAGAGAGTGTGGGGCAGAGACTGAGAGAAACAGCGAGCAGGAATAAGGGCAAGCGGAGAAGAGATGCTTGGAATATCAGCGTGTCAGCGAAAACCCTAGCAAGTGTTTAAGTAAGATATAACAATACATTATTCCATCCATAACGTTTATGTTGGCGCTATTCACCGTGAACTATACTACGCTTACACAAAGATAAACTGCATGACTTGGGCGATGTTAAACCCAGGGTCGGAGAGGAAGGGAGATCCCGGCCGTCTTTGTCTCCCCGCAGCGCGGGGTAGGAGTGTGTATACGCTCGGGGAAAATGAGTCAAACACCACAACGGGAAACTAACACAGACCTTGGGTTAAATACAGAATCATAACTGTGGAGGTATGATTAAATGAAATGATAACTTAACACTTTTTAACCATTCCCTTGTGTGTCGGGGACATGATGCAGGGAGGGAAGCTTGCCCTCCCTCTCGTGCAGGCAAACAGAGCGGCAGACAGAGAGACGCCTTCGAGACAATTTGTAATGTCCGGTTGTTTTACTTTTTGATGGTTATTGGAAGGAGGAGGACAGCGTTATAGGCCGTGGATGACGCACACAAGGACACACACTGACACACGTATGGACACACACATACGGACAGATCCTGACACAGCAAAATCGGAAGGAGCTCCGCCTTGTGGGCAGGATCCAAGTGAAGGGATTTTTGGCATAAAGAGAGGACCCTGCAGCATTGATACCTCCGTTCGATCAGTTCAATCAGTTCGCTCGGAACTCGGCGGAGTTCGACCGGGGGTCGGCTCACGAGAGAGTTCGACCAGTTCGTCCGGAACTCAGCCGAGTTCGGTCGGCTAACTGGAGCCGGACCCTCGGGGCTCAGTTCGACCGGTGGGTCGGCTCAGGAGCAGTTCAAACCGGGAACGAGAGCAACAGGTCGCCAGCCGGCGAGCTGGAGAGCAGGGGGCGGCCAGCGGAGGCCAAAGGGGCCCCGTCGCTACCCACCGATGATGGCGAGACTCGCAGGGTTGTGAGGCGCCACTGAGTGTGAGTTCAAAGAGCTGAAAGACAGAGTATCGCTGAAAGTTATTCTACATTGAGTCCAGCTGCAGCGCGATTGACGCACCAAGCAAGAGCTTCAGCAGTGGAGAGAAACCTGCTGTCAGAGAACCAGCACGAGCGTGATCGCTCAGCTCATCCAGCAGCGGAAAGAGCCCCGTGAACAAGCAACACCAGGAGGGAGCAGCATGCCGGCGCAGCTCATTCCCCAGCGGCGTGAGAAACGCCGAGCGAGAAGGAACCTGCCTTCGTTCGTATACCCCTCCTCCACCTTCACAAACCCGCTGCGCTTACGTTGTCTGCTCACACAAGAAGTTACCAAAAGAACAATCCTACGAACCTAACACTAAGACTAATAAATCATCAGCTGGCCACGAAGGCATCACCGCCCCTCAAATGATAACGATGCGTCGGTTATAAGTACATTAATTAAGTTTTTCTATTATTGAAAGTTTCTGGTGTTAGTTTTCTGATGGTACTTCTAATCGCATAAATTACCCATAGTTTCATCTATCCGAATTAATCATTGAGACCTTCGCCACGGGCTGCGCTCACAGGGAGAAATGATGTTAAACCGGCTTCCTTATCATCCAATCTTGTACGCGAATTAATTAATCTCCCGTGAGAAGCACGTCCCATCGCATACCTTATTCCAAGCCATCTCATAATTATACAATATCGCTGATGAATCTATGAACGCATATTTGTGCCTTTAGGAATAATAATCGTATGAATACCGTCGCTTAATATTAAGGACTTTATTCATATTTTCTATACGTTCGTGTTACGCTGCATAATAATTAATTGCCCTGTTAAAAACGTGATAAGGATTGCCTATGGATCAATGAATGAGCATCCGGGAGTACTATGTGGCCGATTTGAAATATAATAATTCATAATAGAATGTTAAAGTTTTTGTTTAGAATAGCTTGCACGCATGTTTTAATCACTCTCTCTCTTCCTAACAACAATTGCGTTATTTGGGATCCATGTGCCGTTGTCAAAGTTAAATTGTACAGTCGTTGATGATACTGTATCGATACCGTGTTGAAGTTCCGAGATTGAGAGTTCACATACTATATTATAGGCAAGGTTTAATTAGAAATAAATTGATTAATACAGAAGTGGTCGTGTGATTATTTCCTGAATTTTTTGCATAAGATCTGTATCCTGCGATGAGATATGAACCTGGGAACAATACATAAACACACTAATCCATACCTAGTAAACGTTAAAGCGAGAATCATTGTATTATACTGATCGATATTACGAGGGGAGAAAACGAGACCGTTTTTGACACTAGCATAACTGCATACAATTGATTGCATTATCCCAATTGATAACACCACCTCGTCAACGAGGCGGGGACTGATTATCATAAAGGCTGTCGTTAACATAACCGCACCCACTCGTATAAATCAATACGATTACCTCTCGAATTAGCATAATTTATACGCATAATTACACAAATTATCATAATTTCGGATTAATTTTGCAAAATTCAAAATTCATTTAAGTTTCATTATTTTCATCAAATTTTCACACACCCACTTATACAACAAGTGGGGGTGTGCGTAGGTGAGTGAGTGGGTGAATGAGTGTGAGGACTGGTAATGTAGCGGTATGCACACTGTACCGCGTAGAAGCGACCTGGCGACACGTGCTGATTGCTCATCAAAGTGCCTTTTCACGTGGAAATGTATAGCAGCCAAATACCCTAAAGGCAGATTTCTAAACGTGGAGTGAAAAAAACCGGAGGACCTGGAAAAAATTAGGATCTTGCACTGAAACTCTGAGACGCAGTCAATTATTTACATTCCGTTGCACTTTTTAAAGTCCTGGTTGTGAAGGCTGCCTTCGCGATTATGAAACAGCTGCAGCCTCCATCCTGCACTTCGTTTTACGTGAACAGTTTAATCCCAATTTGCCCACAGTGAGCGCCCTAAGTAGAATAAGTTACTTTTCATTTGGCTCTCGTTCATCTTAATTCTCATGTAGCAGCCACTTTCCTGTAGCAGCACTGTCACGTTGATGTTGTTGTGTGCAACTTCTGATGAGTGAGACCCTTCGTGCTGTTAGCGATCTTTCACCAAGCACCTCGGTGCCTGTTTCATGAGCAGAATGCACGCAGGTCTCCCTTGCCAAAGGGGTCACTCTGCATTAATGTACTCAAGCCTGGGTGAAATAAAGGAGGCCTTCCAAATGGGTAGGATTTGCAGGCAATCTGGAGTCTGTAACGGAGCCTAACGAAGATTGTCATGGCAGAGGGACGTACCGAGAAAAGGCAGAAGCTTAGTTTGGACGCCGCCCACTGAGATGACTTTTGCGAGGTTCAGACCATGGGAGACGGGGGCTGGGTAATACTGAGTCTCCTGGGAGACGGAGCTCCTCCTGCACTCACAGCACAGGATACACACAGAGTCTAATGAGGGGCCATGTCTCTCTACACTCACAGCATGATACGCACAGTTTTATGAGGATCCATGTCTCTCTACACACACAGCATGATACACACAGAGTCTAATGAGGGTCCATGTCTCTCTACACAACAACCGCCATTCGCCTCTAAGTGGCAGTGACGTGCACCCTGAAGCCACGTGAAGTGTCAAACGCCCGCTGGCAGGAGGTCACGGGGCAGACCCTGGTGCCACAGGTCGACTGAGATGACTGGCTGATGCATCACCTGTGCCCCTTACTGTGCCACCTTGCTGTGCTTTAGCCAACCGGCGCTCCACTCGTTGTTGTGAGCGCCGCTCCTCCGCCCTCTGTTGTTGTTGGAGGGCGACTGCCTCCAACTGTCCAATAGCGTCCTTCACGAGCCTCCTCCACAGAGGCTGATCTTGACACCGCTGGTACCAGTCATCGGCAAGTCCACTCAGCTCCACTGTTTCCTGTACCACATCACTCCATCTCTTCTCTAGCCCGTGCCGCGCCCGATTATACCCCTCTATCCGGCCGAACAAAAGCTGTTTAGGCATGCGGTGGCTGGGCATGCGGGCTACAGGATCCAGCCAACGCAGCCTTGCCTGCCGGAGGAGCTCAACGATTAGACTTTGCCCAGATCTTTCAAGGATTTGTGAGCTCCTCACACAATCCAGCCTGGTTAAACCAGGATGGATCGTAGGCAGGCCAGCCTAAATGTTTCTAATCGGCAAAGATGCTTCATTAGGAGGGTCCACGCTTCGCAAACGTAAAGAAGGGAGGGAATGACCATGGCCAAGAAGATATGAAGCTTCGTGCAGAGCGACAGACCAGGTAGCTTCCACATATCGTTACGCAACCGATGAAAATATATTGCTCCTCGACTGATTCGGAGTGAGACCTCTGCTGTTAAACCGGAGCTGGTCATGAGCACACTGCCCAGGTATGGGAGACTCTCCACTCTCTCCACAACTGCCCCATCACTGATTGGGAGGTGTGGGAGTGGAGTGTCCGATGGTACAAAATACCCAGGCAGGTGCTTAGTTTTGGTGGGGCTGATGGTAAGGCCTCACCTCTGAGTGGCACGCTCCAGTTTCAGCAGCAGCATCTCCAACTCCTCCTCTGAATGAGCAGCAATTACCATGTCATCGGCATACATAACGTGGTTGACCACTCACAGCACAGGACACACAGAGTCTAATGAGGGCCCATGTCTCTCTACAAATGGACCAAACAGGCAACCCTCGACTTGTGAGCACCAGCTCCCATGAAATAAAAATATCTTTGACTTAAAATCCAAACTCGCAGTTGCAAACTGAACCGCTGAACTATTTTGTTCAGAAGAGCAATCCTCTGCCATATGTGATGAGCCGGCCTCGTGCTGGGAGTGTTTGCATGTGTACGAACATTGTGCGTGTGTTAACATTATGTGTGTGTGTGTGGAAGTGTGGGGGGTATAGCTGCTGCATCTACCAGTCATCTCTGTCAGCCAACCCATGGCACCTGGGTCTGTCCCGAGACCTCCTGTCAGCGAGCCTTCGACATTTCACGTGACCTCAAAGTGCACCTGGCCGGGCACAGGCGCCGTGGTAACGTCACCATAACTTAGTGGCGAATGGCCGTTATTGGTATTGGTGTGGGGAGCGGTAGGGTAGCGGTGAGTGCGCTGTGCTACGAAAGCAACGACCCGAGTTCGATTCTTGCTCACGGCCAACACCAGTACCTGGTGTGGGGTGTAAACATCGCCACTGGGGAGACAAAAGCAGCGGGCCGTGACGCTGGCCACCCACCCCCTCGTGTGCCACAGTGGCGGTCATCTTAGGCGCTGCTCGCTGAGAGAACTTGCCCCAAACATCCTGTGAAGGCTACACGGGGGATTGTTGTCGTTGTGGTGTCTTTGTCGATGTGTGTGCATGCGTGCCCCGTTTGTTGTGGTGACTCATTGCCCCCCTTCCGACTACAGGCGAGCATCAATGTAAGTGAAAACAAAGTTTGTTTTCTATTCATGTAAATGTATTTTATGTTTAATTTACTATACAGTATTTTTTTTACATTGTTGGATGCAAATGTACAACATTTCTTCTTTATTATTAGTCTAACAATGCTTCCCTCTTTGTTGAACCCTAACAAATTTTATAACCATGTCAGCATTTAAGTACGGTGCATTATTGTTTTCCGACTTACGAACTGTTCGACTTACGAACGAGTCTCAGGAACAAATTGCGTGTGTAACGCGAGGACTGCCCGTACGGGATATAATTGACCACATGGGATACAACTGCTTACAATTGGGTCTATTAGGAATCACATCACGACCGTTTGCTGATTTGTCCACCAGGTGGCAGACAGAGCTCGAGTTTGAGTCTGGGTTGGTACTGACCTGAGTCTCTCATTTACGGGAGCCTGAAAAACACAAACCCGCATTTCACATTAACATTGACATCATAAACAGATGCCCAAACCTCCACACAGTCGCCTGCTATTTAGAGTGGAGTGCGACATCAAGGAATTAACAAATACCTGCACACGGGAGAATGGTGAAAAACAGAGTTATCTGTGTGCCTTTGTACTGTTAAGCCTATTCATATAAAATGTTGACTTAAATATTTCGTGACTGCAGGTATTCATATGCTTGTGTTTCAAACGAAATTTCGCGAGTTTTTTTATATTTTTAATATTTTTGATATATATTTTTTTATTTTAGTGTTTTATTATTTATGTATGTTTTTATTTTAAGTCTACGTGACTTCACCGAAAGAACCATAGGATATTAATTCCTGCAGTCACGAAAGCTTTAATTCAAAACATAGAATACCTATTATTATTATTATTTTTTTCAACAATAACAGGATTCCTTTCACTGAATACGGACCCCAACAAATGACACAGCCACTCCTTGCAGGTCTAGTCTAGCAACTAAACAAATGGTTAAGTAATGTTCAACAACTCGTGTTTTTGCTCAGTAGCGAGCTGCCTACCACAATGATAGCTCAACGAACTGGCTTATGTGGACATTTATAATTTCAGCCAAATACTCTGAATGCGTGATGTTGTTTCTAAATGGAGTGAAAAACCAGAGGACCTGGAAAAAGTCTACGCGATCACAGAGAGAGAGACGTAGACTAAAAATTTACAGCAGGCATCGTCAGGGTCGGGGTCAAACCCACGACCTACTCCATACCAGGCGAGGTAAATAGCGATGTTGTACTGGACAAGTCAAGGTCTGAATGTCACACGGAAGCAAACGCGTTTCTATTTATGGACACCGCCGATTCCTCCCAGATCGTAAAACACTAAAATAAGATTGCCAACAATGTGAACGTCTCACAGGGTGGTGCACCTCTGCTGGTTGGAGATAAACCCTCTGATAAACCAAGGCTGTGAGTATAAACTACTTTTTATACCTTACTAGGTAAGGCCCACTGAGCTATATAGCTCTGCTTCAGAAGTAACCTTGCCACAAATCATAACTAAAAAAGTGGCTTATCGTGTGGAAATTTATAGCAGCAAAATATTCTAAACGCGTGATGTTGATTCTAAATGTGGAGGGAAAAACCTGAGGACTGGGAAAAATCCACGCAAGCACGAGGAGAGAGAGATATGCAAACTCCGAATATACAGCAGCAGACGTCAGGGTTGGTATCGAACCCACGACCTCCTGCATATCAGAAGAGGTAGCTAACATCTCCTAGCCACCCTGGCGAGTGAATGGAGGTGGTGCCACCTGCAGGAAGGAGAGCGGGTCCTGTACAGCGAGGGCGGCGAGCAGCTGGTTGATCTCCTGCTCCAGGCCGCGTGCTCTGCTCTCGTAACGAGCGATGTCCGCCTGGATGCGGGACAGCACGGAGCGGCCCTCCTCGTCCACGCGCTCCAGCGCCTCCCTCTCCTCCTCCGTCAGCTGCTCCCTCCGGCGCTCAAACTCTCGACTGATCCGCTCCTTGTTCCCACGCAGAGACTCCTACACAGTGATACGATGACGCGCTATTGAAACGCAACACGACACAGTGCGATGTGACGTCATGAAGGACTTCGACACGGCCACGTCTAATAAATCCGTACAAAGAGGCGGGCGACTTAATTTTTGAAAACGTCGAGTAATGAAATGCATAAAAGGAGATTTAGTGAGGATATTAATGGGCACTCATGCCAAATGCTAAGTACCCATATAGTTTGTGTGTTTGTCTGTACCTGCACGTGTCTGTGTGTGCTCTCTGTACCTGCACGTGTCTGTGTGTGTTTCGCTGTACCTGCACGTGTCTCTCTGTACCTGCACGTGTCTGTGTGTCTCTCTGTACCTGCACGTGTCTGTGTGTCTCTCTGTACCTGCACGTGTCTGTGTGTCTCTCTGTACCTGCACGTGTCTGTGTGTCTCTCTGTAACTGCACGTGTCTGTGTGTGTGTCTCTGTACCTGCACGTGTCTGTGTCTCTCTCTGTACCTGCACCTGTCTGTGTGTCTCTCTCTGTACCTGCACGTGTCTGTGTGTCTCTCTGTACCTGCACGTGTCTGTGTGTCTCTGTAACTGCACGTGTCTATGTGTCTCTCTGTACCTGCACGCGCTTGTAGGCACGCTTGAGCTGCTTTGTCCGTGATTCTGCCATAGTCTTCTTCTCCTCTCTCTCCGTCTTCTCGAGTCTGAACGCCTCCTATACACGGGGTAGACAAATACGCGATGTTTGGTTCTCCCATCATTGTCATCATCTGGCCCATGTCTTTAACCTGGATCCTTGCAGGCCAGTTTCGTGGATCGCCCAGCGATAATCATCGACCTTTTAAATCTTTCAACCTCCCAGGTTTGAGGTGGTCATCCGTGTCTGAGGTAGGTGGCTGGATCACAGCGCGGTGTAATGAGGAGTCCCCACTCCCACGCTCGTGTTTTCTTCAGTTTTCCTAACAATGGAATCTTGCGAAACCGAGAACCATAACCCCCCGATATATCTACAGCACACACTTTGCGTGACAGTGCGGTAAACACCCAAACTTAAATACGAAATATTACAAGAAACCAAGCTGAGTGCCAGAGCTGTATTAGGGTACAGACAGCTCTGGTGCTGATAGGGCTGCTGCTGGGGCGTGTTGGGACAAGTTGGACAGGACTAAGTGGAGGGGAGAGCCATGTGACCAGGTTTGTATCACAGCACGCTAACCACTACACCACTGCTCCCCAAAGCAGAACAACTGCACACTCATGTCACAGGTTAAACATTCCTAGAAATATTCTTAGTTTTTTCGGTAAAGTCACGTTGAAGGGAAACAACAAAATAATAAAATATATATAAAACAATAAAAAATTCTCACGACGTTTCGACCATAACTCAAACGGTCGTCTTCATGTGTGTTGGTTTGCATAAATTTATTTTTAAACGGCGCATTTATTTATTTATTAAAAAAACGTTAGTGCCACGCGCAACGATTTGGCAGTTTATTTAGGACTAGTCCATCTATATTCTGAAAAGAGGAGGGGGGGGGAGACGAAATTTTTTTTATAATGTATGCTGTCTGAAAGCCACTGTAAGCGTGAACAATCAATTAAGACCTGAAATGGTTTATCAAATCTTTCCAATGATTGCTAAGATAGAATCCATCTTCTCGGTTGAAATTGTCTCTGTGCTTGTATATGTGGATAGCCTCATGAACGAATCTCTCATGGAAGCCAGATGGCTTACAAAGAACCTCTGTCTTGGAAAAGTCAATGGCATGTGAGCCTACTGAATTAGAACAATGATCTGCCACGGCCGAGGTGTTGGTCCTACCGTGTTTAAGGTCTGCTTTGTGTTCACGAATGCGGTCCGAGACATGGCGTTTGGTTTCTCCAATGTAACTACTACCACAGAGGCAACTTAGTTTGTAGACACCAGGGTATTGTATGTCCGGAATCACATCTTTTACAGACGGAACCAGATCACGGATTTTATGTAATGTGTTGAAACGGACCTGGATCTTGTGTTTATTCAAGATTTTGGAGATCTTTTTTGTGATCCCCGCAATGTAGGGTAAAGTGATGGTTTTGAAAGGCTCCTCAAGAGGGTTCTTCTTCATGGTTTGAGTGATAGCTTTGCGGCTTGTATAGTCGGAGTAACCATTAGCCCTAAGAGCTTGGTGTATGTGTTTGAGTTCACTGCTTATGTGTTCCTGGTCGGATATGCATTGGGCTCTATGATACAGAGTCTTGATTAGAGAATTCTCTGTATCATAGAGCCCAATGCATATCCTACCAGGAACACATAAGCAGTGAACTCAAACACGTACACCAAGCTCTTAGGGCTAATGGTTACTCCGACTATACAATCCGCAAAGCTATCACTCAAACCATGAAGAACCCTCTTGAGGAGCCTTTCAAAACCATCACTTTACCCTACATTGCGGGGATCACAAAAAAGATCTCCAAAATCTTGAATAAACACAAGATCCAGGTCCGTTTCAACACATTACATAAAATCCGTGATCTGGTTCCGTCTGTAAAAGATGTGATTCCGGACATACAATATCCTGGTGTCTACAAACTAAGTTGCCTCTGTGGTAGTAGTTACATTGGAGAAACCAAACGCCATGTCTCGGACCGCATTCGTGAACACAAAGCAGACCTTAAACACGGTAGGACCAACACCTCGGCCGTGGCAGATCATTGTTCTAATTCAGTAGGCTCACATGCCATTGACTTTTCCAAGACAGAGGTTCTTTGTAAGCCATCTGGCTTCCATGAGAGATTCGTTCATGAGGCTATCCACATATACAAGCACAGAGACAATTTCAACCGAGAAGATGGATTCTATCTTAGCAATCATTGGAAAGATTTGATAAACCATTTCAGGTCTTAATTGATTGTTCATGCTTACAGTGGCTTTCAGACAGCATACATTATAAAAAAAAATTCGTCTCCCCCCTCCTCTTTTCAGAATATAGATGGACTAGTCCTAAATAAACTGCCAAATCGTTGCGCGTGGTGCTAACGTTTTTTTTTATAAATAAATAAATGCGCCGTTTAAAAATAAATTTATGCAAACCAACACACCTGAAGACGACCGTTTGAGTTATGGTCGAAACGTCGTGAGAATTTTTTTTATTGTTTTTTATATATTTTATTATTTTGTTGTTTCCCTTCAACGTGACTTTACCGAAAAAAACTAAGAATATTAATTACTGCAGTCACGAAAGCTTTAAATCAAAATTCCTAGAAATGCAGTATGTGATAATAGTAATTTAAGGGATATTGCTACAAGTAAATATATGCAGATTAAGTTTAACAATTCGGCTTTGGCGACCAATACTGTTCATAAAAGAGATGTTTTTGGGTTAGGTCATGTAAATAGAAATGTGTCGTTAAACCCGCCACCACCCGACTCAGTCAATTAGTAACATTCGTCACGTAAACACAACGTGCCAATAAGTGACTAGTTCAGCATCACCAGTGTGTAGGAAAGTAAACCCACAACATTTACAATTAGTGACTAGTTCAGCACCACCGTTGAGTAGGAAAGTAAACCCACAACATTTACAATTAGTGACTAGTTCAGCACCACCGGTGTGTAGGAAAGTAAACCCACAACATTTACAATTAGTGACTAGTTCAGCACCACCGTTGTGTATGAAAGTAAACCCACAACATTTACAATTAGTGACAAGTTCAGCACCACCGGTGAGTAGGAAAGTAAACCCACAACATTTATAATTGGAGTACCATGACATTTTGCCTCACTACTAATTACAACCAGCATCATCAGGCGACAGCCAGAATTGAATATGCAGAGTAGCATTGTCAGTAGCAGCGAACATAATAATGTCAATATTAACACTATCATACTAACACTAACGATAGAGGAATATTACCAGCGGCAGCAACAACGACAACAACAAACATCCGTAGTCATGATGATGGTGATTATTGACTTGAATATCCTTCATTGTGATATTTGACTTAAGCTGTCCCCATTTGATTGCCTCTGGCAGGGCCTGACACTGGCAGGATTGAGCGCTGTGAACGTGAAACTGCCCACGCCAAGTCCCACACAGCCTGCTGGCCGTGTACCCTTAGTCCCGCACTCTGTTGCCCCATTTCACCTGACAATAAAAACGTGGCAGGCTAAACGCTCTGGGGGTTGGCCAAGCTTCACCGTGGCAGCGCTCAACCACAATCCACTGTTGTGTCACTGAATGCAAATACACGGCGTCTATGTTAGAGGCACGGTGGCATTTTAGACACCAAACATTTTTCAACAAAATCAAATCTAAATCTGCCCTACGGACAATCATCCCGTGCCTTGTGGCCTGTCTCTACCACTAGAATGTCTTCTGATTCGCCTCCTTTAAGTTCATGGTCAGTGCACTTCAAAGCCGTCTCACGTTTGAAGTATCTCGCGTTAGTCCACATTTCTCTCCACCCATCATTGCTGCTCACAAGTACGAATCTTATTATGTGAAGTGTATTTTACAACTTTGCCAGCTATGTCACAAAGTGCTTTGTCTTGTAACTAAACCATGGAATACCCTGCTTTGCTAAACATTCAAAACAACATTGCCAGATGCCTTGTCTCTGCTGTCTAGCGTGTGCCAGTTTTACAATACGCGTTGCCCAAAGTCATTTGATTGACCGTCACAATGCTGGCACAATAGGAGTTACCTAATAATGTGCAAATCTAAATGATAAAATACAAACCCTCTATCTGAACAACACACTCAGAATGCTGTAGTCACACTGAGGGATATTTGATTACAGCAGCGATTTAGATCTCACCTGTTTTGTCCGTTGTGCATTTTCCAGTGGAATGACCTCATGCCCTCTATGTTCCCCAGCGATGGTGCAGACTGTGCAGACCAGGCTGTCATCCTGTTCACAGTAGAACTTGATCTGCTCCTGTCTGTGCTGCCGGCAACGTCGCTCCTCCAGGATCGCGATGGGAGCCACCAGGACGTGGCCACTCAACCTGGGATTCTCCAAGTGAGGCCTCGCGTGTCTTGCACAGTAGGACATCTCACATCTCAGGCAGGTCCTCACTGCAGGAGTGTGGCCGTCAGTGCAGTTGTCACACACAACGGCCGCGGCCATCCCGTCTCCAACTCTGAGCTGCTCCGCCAGGTTGGCGAGGGCCACGTTCCTCCTCAGCTGGGGTCGCACAGGGAAGGTCGCTCGGCACTGCGGGCAGCTGAAGCTGCTCGCCGTCTCCCAGGTGGTCTCCAGGCACCGCAGGCAGAACGTGTGTCCACAGCTCAGCGTGGAGGGGCAGACGAACGTGCCCAGTCAGATGGAGCAGCGCAGCTCACTATCCACACTCTCACTGGGAGTCGCGCTCGCCATGACCCATGGCTTCGCTTAGATCGCTCGCTGTGTGACTCAAAGAGACGCTGGACCAGGACCTATCTTTCATAGCGACGGTGAAGAAGGAAGTAAAATACTTACAATTTTTCATTGTCGTCAATGACATCACGAGACACCGCCTGGAATGTGAACCCGCGCCCTGAGGTGTGCAAACAGCAGCCTCAAGGTGAACACGGCTACTGTACACACCTTGCCATTTAAAGAAATGAGTGCTGTTGTTAATATAAATCGGTGAGGCTCAGCTGCGGTGGCTCATTCGTGAGATGAGTGTCGAGAGATGAACTTCTACAGCAAGTTGGTGGCAAGATGTTTTCTCCCTCGCCCGGTATACAGGAGGTGGTGGGGTTTGATCCCAATCCTGACGCCTGCTTCATATTTAAAGTTTGCGTCTCTCTCTCCGTGGTCGCGTGAATTTTTCTCCGGAAAATTTTACAATCAACATCACGCGTTTAGAGTAGTTGGCTGCAGTACATTACCACGTGATAAGCCATCATTTGTGGCCAGGTCGTTTCAGAAAATAGCCACATTGCTCAGTGAGCGTTGCCTGGTAAAATAAAAAAAAATGTTGGCATAGTTGTAGATATCTCATGATGTCCTGTAACTCCATCTCCGTGTAATTACCCCAACGTGACAAGTTGCTTGAATGTCCTTGTGGCATCTGAGATGGAATTTGCCTGTAGCCTCCCGTGACAGATCCTGGGATCTTGAGCCTTTTGCTAAAAGTGTGAATGTATTACCAACTCTACCTGCCTCCATCACCCACTGCTGGCGATGTCGCCGTCTCTCACTCTCACCTTGTCCGAGACTGCAGATCCCCGTGCCGGCCATTCACAGCCGCACCCAACGCTTACTTCAGCTGCGTTGTTGTTTCACATTCACACGCACGGCTACTCAACGCGCATGCACACGCAGCAACACAAATGCCCATCGGTGTTCACCATTATTGTAAACAAATTTAAAATAAATTAAACTAAACTATTTTAAAGTTACCAGGTGTAATGCCCCACTGAGCTATTGAAATATTATTTTTCAGAAGCGACCTGCCCATCACAAAGGACAGCTCAACAAAGTGGCTCGTCATGTCGTAAATGCATAGCAGCAAATAATCTAAATACTGAACTCTAAACGCTGCTTGAACCCAGAGACGCTCTCTTGGGCTCTGCGGGTTGTTCACAGCAGATAACGAATGCCTTAGACCAGTGATTCTTAACCTTGTTGGAGGTACCGAACCCCACCAGTTTCATATGCGCATTCACCGAACCCCTCTTTAGTGAAAAATAAAATGTGATTTTTTTCAAATTCAAGACGTAGATATGTTTTTTACTGGTACACAAAATGAGCCGTGCATGAACATTACCTTGTTCAAAGAATAAAACCAACACAATGCATAAACTCACAACAAATTACATACCTGGAAATCAATGTGACTTCTGCTGTTGCCTTTGAGAGATCAGTTCAGATATGCGTGGCTTCACCTTGGCAAGTGCCACTCTCATGTCATTTTCACAGCAAAGTCTGTTCCTTTTCTTCGTTTTTATGTCCAGCATCCTCGAAAAGGATTGCTCACAAAGATATGTTGTAACAAATGGTATAAAAAAATCCAGGGCTTTCTTAGCAATAACTGGATACTTGTTCATTTGTCGACACCAAAACGTTGAGAGCGTTGTTGTTCTGAAGAGTTGCTGTTGAACCTGGCTCTGCTGAATTTCAATGATTTCGTCGAGGAATTCATCATTGACATCTGCTGTTTCAACAGCAAACGTGAACGGCTGTCTCACCCATGCTGGATATTACTCTCTTGTAGGGAAATATCCGTCGAGAGACTTTGCAAGCTCATCTAAGTGCGTGGCAATTGTTTGCTTCAGTTCCGTGGATACAGAAATATCTCCGATTCCAGACACATCTTCGATCTTACTTGCACAGTCGTCCAGAAGCGGGAAGTTTGCGAAGTTATTGTTCTCTTCATAATAAAGGTTTTTGGGTTAGATCGCGTTTATTTATAAATGTGTCGTAACCCTCCACCACCCGACACGGCCAATCAGCAAAAAAAGTGTCACGTTGACAAAAGACAAATAATTCACTACTTCAGCCCACCGGTGTGTTGAAGAGTTAATCCACATTTACAGTTTGAGTACGACGTTTCGCTGGTAAATACTTCCAGCATCATCGGGCAATTCGCCAGAATGGTAAAGCCCTCGCTTGCTCCCGGTTTTATATAGAGCAGCAGGGTGACGTCATCACTTAACTCATCAGGTGCAGTGATTAGAGGCGGAGGGGGGGGGGGTAATGTTATTATATAATCGATTAGTAATCAGTCATTGGTTATGATTAGTAATGAGTTGTAGATTAGTAATTCTTTAAATCAAAATGTAATGTGTATTATTTAATAATACGCTTCCAGGCCGCACTAAGCCGGTAGCTGTCAGAGCGATTAAAGTTATTCTTGTTCCTCTCAATTTCAATGGATTCTCTAATTAGTCTTTGCCAGTAATAATTAGTTTTACACACCACTGCAACATTGTCAAAATCAATTGAGTGTCCTTGTTGACAAGCATGTTCTGCCACTGCCGACAGTTGTGTTTGAGATAATTTAATATTTCTCTGATGTTCTTTTAGTCTTACGCTGATGTTACGTCCTGTCTGCCCAATGTAGCAGCTGCCACATGAACAATTAATCCGATATACACCTTCTGTTGATAGTTTAGGTAATGCGTCTTTAGTGCAAGATACTAGTTTTTGAATTTTGTGTACTGTACCAAATCTTACTGTAATGTTTTGCTTTTGCAAAACGCGGGCTAATTTGTCAGTTACTGTTCGTCGTTTCCATAATGGTAGCTTTTTTTTAAAAGCCTTCAGGTGTTCTTCCGCTTCCATGATATTGACTCCACCACCCTGCATCTGCTGATTGAGATGATTGAGAGCTGCGAATATATCAGCCATGTACGCTAAAATGAGAATGAACTCAGGATTTTTGAAGCAATCTGCATGGCAGTGTTGGTGCTCTTGCAAAAACAGGGCTAATTCCACACGCATGGCAAAAACACGATTCAGCACCTGTCCCCGGGATAACCACCGAATATTAGAATGGAGCAGAAGTACCTCAAATTCAGAGCCCATTTCTTTACACAGCTCACTGAAGATGCGGTGCCTCAGAGCACTTTTTCGCACATAGTTCACACATTCCACCACAGTTTTTAATACTTCTGCCATTTTTGGAGGTAAGGTTTTTGTTGCCAACGCATGCCTGTGCAGAATACAATGCGTCACAATGATGTGTGGTGCATCGGCCTTTACTAGCGCACCAAAACCAGACTTTCTTCCCAGCATGACTGGAGCTCCGTCCGTACAAACTGCAGAAACCATATCCCATGAAAGATTGTTGTCTCTGAAGAAGTCATCCACAAGCTTCTTCACATCGGCTGCCTTCGTTGTTGTTGTAAGAGGCTTACAAAATAAAAACTCTTCTTTTATCATGTCGTCTTTCACATAGCGTACAAAAACAGCAAGCTGGCTTAGATCAGAAACGTCTGTGGTTTCGTCGAGTTGAAGGCTGAATTTTGCCGGGCTTGAAATCAGATCCGCGACTACTTGAGCCAAGATGTCTTTACTCATGTCTTCTATTCTGTCACTGACGGTGTCATTTGAAAGGGGAATTTGGGATAATTTACCTTCGGCCGCTGTTCCGAGTATCAGATTCGCCATCTTTAATGCAGCTGGTTTCACAAGTGTTTCACCAATGGTGTGTGGCTTGCCCTGCTTTGCGATCAGGTAAGCAACTTCGTACGATGCTGTCAGGATCGGTTTGTTAACAGGTACAAATCCAAGAGCAGGCAGAGTGGCCCTTTCATCGAATCTGGCTCTCTCCACCCTGAATTCAGCAAGTGTTGTGTTCTTGTATTCCCCGTCTCCATGCAGCTTCAAGAAGTGTTCCTTTAGTTTTGCCGGTGCAAGACTAGAGTTGCTCAACTTGGCGTTGCAAATCATGCAGATAGGATGCTCACTCCCATCACGTTCCGTGATACATGAGAATCCATGTTGTACATATTCGTCCGACCACTTTCTTCTTTTGCCCGACATAGTTAGTATGGATAAAATATTAAAGAAATCACACGACGTACGACAACAGTCACACGTTGACTACTGAGTACGCACTAAATTCCCCGCAGCGCTGATTGGCCAAGCAGTGTAGCATGATCATCTGCAGCCAGTGATGGCCAAGCGGGCCGTGTGTGTCATCACAAATTTACACAATAATTCAAGTGTGTCCGGACCTCCGTGGCGGGGGCTCTGCCGAACCCCTGAGATCGACTCACCGAACCCCTGGGGTTCGATCGAACCCAGGTTAAGAACCACTGCCTTAGACTCTACACCCAAGTCGGACTTGTGGGAATACCCGACCTGCACGAAATTGAACATACGGCCTGGACTAACGGATAAATAAGCGACACTGCGTTTGAAAGCTTCCTTCTACAAGGTCACCAATGCGAGCGAAGGGGTCCCTACGATGTCCACGGCTCATTCCTTGATGCAGCAGCAGCGACGGCTCAGTGCTCAATGAGGCGCAGTGGCTCCAGGCCAAGCAAGCAGCGTGATCCGCCGCCGGTTTTGCAGCCAACAAATCCTCGCAGCGTCCGGGGAGAGCCGTCTAGGTGACAGCTCAGCACTCCTCGGGTGCCAAACAGCCCACACCCGGCTACGCATCCAGTTACACTCACACACTCACTCACTTACACACTCACTCAATTACACACTCAATCATTTGCACACTCACTTACTTACACACTCACTCACACACTCACACACTCACTTACACACTTACACACTCACTTACACACTCACTCACATACCTACACACTCACACACTCACTCACTTACACACACACTCACACACTCACTCACTTACACACACACTCACTCTCACACTCACACACTCACTCACTCTCACACTCTCACTCACACAATTACACTCTCACACTCACACCCTCACTCACTCACACACTCATCAATAACAACAACCGCCATTCGCCACAATCACTCACACACTCGCACACGGGCCCATGGTCTCTCTCTCTCTTTCTCACTCACCGCTTGTATAAAGCCATCTATGTCCCGTCTGTATACTCCCGTACATGAATATGTGCATCTCTCGTCTGTGTGTCTCTAGTCTGCATGTCTCTATAAAAAGTCCTCTGTGTTGTGTAAATGCCGTTTCCAAAAATTAATATTAAGAGTGATATTGTCTATTTTAACGTAACAGTTTTTTTCTCTGCACATGTCTGGATTTAAATTGTTCTAAAATAATAAAAATGCATAATATGAATTATGCAAAATTTCCGCG